GTCGGTGTATAAAAACAAAAGAAAACAATCATCATCAAAAGCAGTGGAGAGAAAGAGGCAGGTTGTCACTGAAAAACACACCAGAAGAAGAAAATATCAAAACAATATAATTTTTAATGCCTGTGTTTTATTTTTGATTTTTTTCCTTTAAACTTTAAATCAATGTGTCATTGAAACAAACTGTAAAAAGGAAACTGATATTAAAACAGCTGGAAAAAAGTCGAACTGGAAATAAAAACAACAACAACAAACAAAATCATCATTTTGAATTATATTATTTTTCATTTTGATGTGTTTTTTCTGCCACTGAGAAACAGAGTGCAAAAGATACCAGAATAAAATGCTTTTAAATGAATGCCTGGGTTTTATTTTGAAAGGAACTCGTTTCAGCGTCAGTGTTTAATTTTAAAGTTTTGTTTTAAACATGTTTTATTTTCAGTGACGAGATTTAAAGTGACCGTCCTACAGAACATTTACATCACATCAGTCTGACCTCATTAAATAACTGATGCACATTAACGGCTCTTTGTGTTAATGTCGTTATAATAAGTGAGTGTTTCAGTTGCAGTTACAGACGTCACGTGTGTCCTCGTCTAAACACAGGACACATAAACATACACATGCAGTAAACTGAACACAGGGTGGAGCACTGACGTGTGACGGGCGTACAGGTGAGCTCCATGTCATCAGGATCAGGTGTGTGCAATGTGGAGACAAACAGTTTTGACGGTGTTGTGGAAGCATGTTTGTAGCGTGTTAAAACTGAAATGCTGACTGTAATAATGATGACATGTGGACAAGGCTGTCGCCCCTCTGTGTCCTGGTGAGCCTGTGGAGATTATAAAGAGAGCAAATGGATCGCCACATCCAAAGAGACACAGCGCACTGGACTTTGGTTCACTGTTCGGCCACAACACGTGTCCAGCTGAGTGAACACCACCTCATTTCTCTTCCTGTAACATTTCTGCAGCAAAATCTGGATGGATTTTATTCCTGATACGAGCTGCTGTCTGATAAACAGGTAGGCCTGAGGCCAGAGGGATGAAATGAGGCCTCACTGTTGTTCTGATTGAAAGGCCTCTACCAGAGGACCTGAGGGTTCTCGAGGGTTCATACGATGAAAGGACTGAGACCATTAAGATCTTTATAAACCAATAAAAGGAACTTCAAATCAATTCTGAACCTCTCAGGAAGTTCCACGTCTGAGGAACGTCCTGTCTGAAGACCTGAGGGCCGCACAGTGTCCATGTTCTTCATAGCAAACTAAAGACCTACAGTTGATTATTATTACTGTGTATTTATCTATTTTCATTCATCTGTAATTTCTAGCTGGCATACTTTTCTATTTTGTTTTTTATTTAATTAATTTTAACGAATTTATTGACTGATTTTAAAATTATTTTTTATTTCAAGTTCTTATCCTGCCTCCGGTGTGTCTCCCCACTGATGACAGCGTTTCCTCAGTTCTTCATGAGGGCTGTTATACTTTTAGTCTTTACCATCAGTCTTTGCTTTATGTGTGTGTGTGTGTGTGTGTGTGTGTGTATGAAAAGTGCTATTTAAATTAAGTTTAATTGACTGACTGTGATCTTTTTATTAAGATCTGGGTAAATGTTGAAATTAAAAGAACAACACCAGAGGAACACACTCTATATGGAAATCTATCACACGATTAAGGTCGCAATGGTGTCAGATTTTCACGGTACGATAACTGTCTCAGAAAATATCAGTTTCACAGCATCACTGTGTTACAGCATCATTATCATCAGTCAGAATGATCCTTAAAGTTACTGTTGGTTTAACGAACATTTTATTACTATGACTGAAACTTGAAATATTTTGTTATTGAAGTTTGTGTAAAAAGTCTCCTCTTAGAAAATAAGTAAAATAAATAACTCAAAGGAGAGATTCAACGTCTGGTTGTGGAGAGAAGTCGTACATGTACACTGACTGTTACAGGAAGTTTACTTTGGTTAGGATCTGATTTTATTTTGAAACCACTCTCTCTTCCAGGGTTCAAGGGTTAGGCTACTTCCTGGTGACGTGTGGATCCAGCAGGTGTTAATTACCTCGTTAGGCTGAACCAAGTCATCAGAGATGAGGGGGGGGGGGGCAGAGGGATTAAAGCTTAGCTTCTGTTTGATGTTAGTTGAATCTATAATATATTTATAATATATTTTATTTGTTCTGTGTCCTATAACAGTCACTGATATGTTTCATATAAAGTACTGGTGAGCTGACAGATGTGAAGGTAGTGCTGTCTGTGGGTCCTTCGCTGTGTAACGGTGGTGGTGAAGTCTGGAGGAGCCAGAGGGGGTCAGGTGGTGTGTGTGACCTCTGCTGCACCTGTGAACCTGCCTCTGTTCCCCATCTGCTGCCATGTGTTTGTGTGATGTGTTGACGCGGTACATCTTAGAACGGGTAGATCACTGCAGCCCTGCACACAATTTATTAAGACAGCTCATTGTAATGTCCCCCTCAAGTCCAACGAAGAAAAGCCCTCCTTCATGAATACATGTTTTAAACACACACATCACACTCACCGGGTCGGCGTTAGGAATTAGAGCTGATTTCTGCTCCTCTGATCTCACTGAACTGCTCACGTCACACGGAGAGGCACCACCATTAAAACACAGCTGTCCTGTCCTCTGTTGGTGAGGCCACGCCCCCTCACACCTGTCATCCTGGAGTCACCTGACCAGTGTTGGAGATAAGAATCTACACCTGGTAAACAAGTGACAGCAGGAAGAGCTGTATCCAAGGTTTCTCTCAGGATTAAACTGTTTCACACACCTCAGTAAAAAAACAAAACAATAATTATGATCTTTCATCATATAATAAAGAATATAAATATATATATATAAATATAATTAAAGAGCCTTTGCTTTTACTTCCTGTACATTTTGATGTTAATTATGTACTTTCACTTAGTGTCTTGACTACAGAACTTTCACCTCTACACTGTGGTATTACTACTTTTACTCGAGTAAAATATCCGCATACTTCTTAGCTTAGCTTAGCATAGCTTAGCATAGCATAAAGACTGGAAACAGGTGGAAACATTCAGCCTGGCTCTGTTCAAAGGAACAAAAATCCACCTACCTGCTCCTCTAACGCTCTCTGACATCATTTCGTTTCATCTGTACGAAGACAAACGAGTAAAAACAACAAATTCACCTTTTACAGGAGGTCATGTGTCCAAATGTTTCTTCATCAGGTACTGTAAAGTACTCTATTACTGGACTAGAATACATGCAGTTCATATAATTCATCCCAAATTAATCTATATTTTTTAAAGTCATTACTAAAAGTGTGTGTCATCCAAGAGAGACAATAAAAGCTGATGGAACAGTCAAAGTTGTCATTTTGAAATGTGTCCGATAAAATTTAAATAAAATGTCCAAAAAATATTTTTAAAAGGACATTTTTTTTAAAATAAAATGTCCGATAAAAATGTTGATTTATGTTGGAAAATATGACTAAATTTAAGGTGTGCTGATGGATTCACGTCATCAACTCATGCATTGAGTAACATTACAAGTTAACGTTCCACCTTAAAAGTTGCCGGCAGTCGGCCCAGTGAATGAAGTTATTTTTTTCTCTTTCATTTTATAGTTGTAGTTTACTGATGTATGAACAGAGGTTACATAAAACCAGAGTGAGCGTCCTCTACTGACCAATCAGACTGCAGGGTTTCTAGCTCCACCTTTTAGTACCAGATCTGTGTGCTAGGTACCCCAACAGAGGGGGGACCAAACATGGGGACGCTAAGGAACGCTGCTGTTGGTACCATCCACAACTTTTACTGTGGAGACAGAAACTATAGGCCCGTTTCCACCGCAGGAACTTCGGGGTAATTTTACGGGGTCGGGGCCGTTGGTGCGTGTCTCCACCGCAGGAACCACCCCCGAAGGACAGAGTTCTGGAACTTTTACAGGGGCTAAACAAGTCCCTGCCTCGGGGTAGGTACTCAGAACGGCCCCGAAAGACTCCTGACTGGGGCTTGGGGGTTACTTGGTGCTGATTGGATATACTCAAGGAGGGATGTGACGTCAACAGAAAGCAACAAAATAGCCGGCATTTTTAAAACTCAGCAGACGAGGGTTAGCTCGTTCATATAGCTTCCGCCGCCATGTAAAAAAAACTGACTAAATGGCCCGTGAAAAAAATATCTTTTCCAGCGGATATCTTAGTTACAACATGATTGAGCTAGCAAAGCAGTTTTGTGTTGCTATGTGTGGTATTTATTCAGTTTTGGGAAATCAATGTCTAGATGTCTAGAAAGCATCAGCTGACAGGGACAGCTAACAGCAGCAGCAAAGCTAACATCAGGACGTCATCTGTTAAAAGCCTCCCGTTGTTGGATACGACATGAAACTACTCCAGTTAGCTCAATCATGTTGTAACTAAGACATCCGCTGGAAAAAATATTTTTTTCACGGGCCATTTAGTGAGTTATTACAGACACCGCTAAGGGCTGACAGCTAACGGCGTCCCTACGTCACCCCGGTAAATGGTCGCGCAACCATTACGTCACATCCAGAGCCCGTACCTTTATAGTAACCTTCCTCGTACTCCGCTCTCTCAGTGGAGACACTGCGGTTGAGAGGGCCAAGCGAGAGGACGTTCCTGTAGTAGTTCCTGCCCCCCAGATAGTACCAGGAACTTCTTCAGTGGAAACGGGCCTCATGAGACTGATCTGAACTGATGGTGGAAACGGAGCTTCTGATGCGCTGATGTCTGTCGGAGTTTGATCAAATGAATGATTCATAATTAATATATTATCCAAAGCCTATTTTTTGAACAAGTGATATTCACACTGGTTTATATAAACAGTTTAGTGTGAGGAGAATTAAAGGCCTGTCTCAAATATAGACCTGTAAAATAACAGCCCGGGCTATTAAGTTTTAATTTGACTTTGATGATACACACAACTACACAGAGCATCTGTCCTCCCGAAGGTGTGGATAAGTGTAAAAGAAGCAGAGTGAGTCGTCAGCGTATATACAGTATGTATACTTTATTTACAAATAACTGAATCCCCGCGGTCGAACAATGAAAAGATACAGCTGAAGAAAAATCATCACAGATTTAGAATATAAATAGTCAAAGAATCATAAGAAGCATGTTTGTTACTTTAGCAGACAGAAAATCAACAGACAGGAAATAAAAATATACAGTGCATGTTACAGCCAGCGAGGGGGGGCACAACCAGATATCTGACAATAATTTTGTCTTTATTAATTTCAGCCTGATCACAGCTCCATCTGGAACAAACACACTGCATACGCTATGGACTCTGGTGGCGCTGTGATGACATCAGAGATCTTTTAGCTGAATTCTTTTAAAGTTTAAAAGGCGATGATGCTGCAGTAGCATTGCACCTGCAGGACCGGCACTGCTGCTGCATTTAATTCATGTTCTGATTTTTTAGTTTTTTAATTATCAAATGCGTGTTTACCTTTGGTGAGGGATGCTTAAGGCGGCAGTCACAACTTAACTTCACAGGTTCTCCTTCATTTTGTGACCCTTTGGTTTCTGAAAACTTGTTAAAATCTCTCCAAGTAAAACAAACAGTTTTCTCTGCTTTAAAATAAAGAGTTCAGTTTCCCCGGCGAGTGTGTCGTGCAGGTTATTACGTGATGAAAACATGAGAGTCTGATGTGTTTTTACAGTGAGGGAGGGGCTTCATTCAGAAATCAAGCATCACAGTTGAAGAAGGCTGCTGTCCACCAATCAGAGGACAGCGAAGAGTAAAATCACTCTCCGTTCAGACAGATGTGGACACAGTTAAAGAGTGCGGGCTCCAGGCGTCCTCAGACGGCACTGAGCTTTAATATCCTTCAGTCATGACGGGATACGTACACGAGATCTGAGCGACATCGCCAGAATCTGAGCCACCGGGTCACAGAGGAAGTCGAGGTGAGCCGGGCGGGAAAACAACGGCGGTTGCGTTTTGCATTTTACTCTGACGTCCAAGAAGCAACAAAACTCTATTTTTGTCATTCTTAACTTTTCATTGCTGTTTTTTAAAATTATTATTTTACAGTATTTTTCTTTTACAGGCTCATTTATTAAAAAGGAAAAGGTAAATACGTGATTAAATGTGTTTGCAAATACACAAGGAGCCAAAAATACATGTGGGGGTAAAATACAGAGTTCAAATGTATTGAAAGTTTATAATTTTGATTAATTACCTCAATGTATTTTTATATAATAACTAGGGCTGTCAAAAATAATGCATTAATTTTGATTAACTAATCAATGAAAAAATTACATGTTAAAAAAATTAACACTGATTAATGGCGTCCCGTGGTGACCTCTGACCCGGTGCGTCACTGAAGGCCACAGTGTCTTTGTCACATGATGGAGGCAGACGAGACGACGCTACTCGGCCCCATGAACGGAACATTTACATTTAAAAAACGCCCAGAGGGAGCTGTTGATAAGAGCACTGTTGAGAACTTCAGTCTGAAATATCACCTCAACACAAAGACTTTAGCAGCGAACCCAGAGGTCTGAGCTAACACAGCCTCTGATGCTAACGCTAGCAGCCAGTCTCGTCAAGTCAAGCTGGACCAGGTGTTCAGACTGAGTCAGTCTACCTGTGACCGACTCACTAACTCCCTCACAGAATGGACTGCAGACAGTTTGGTTGGTCGAGGACATGAGGCCAACTGTGTCCAACATCCAGCAGCTTCACTATGACACATCTGACAACATTCAATTGAACTGAAATTTTTTAAACACTTCAGCAAAAACTGATGTATGCAAATAATTTAGATTAGTTAATCACAGAGCAGGTCATTAGATTATTTTTTAAATTTTTTAACAGCCCTAGTTATCATTTTAATACTTTGACTCATCAGACGATCTGTTGGTGACATTTGTGGCTTCTTGGACTCAATCAGACTTTTTAAAAACCTCTAACTCCTCCTTGGTGTTTCAGCGGTGAACTGAATAATATTTTACTGCGTATTTTCCCTGCTGGAGAGACACTGGACATGAACTGAAGCTGGACAACTGATTAATTTAGTGTAACTCTGATGATTATCTTTCAACAAGAGCAGTCGTATCAGCTCAGAGACATCACGTGTTATACTGTGTGCGCATCTGTCGGCTTGTTTTGGTTTTTCTCTAGTGACCACACAATAAAAAAAAATACATTTAAAATAAAGTTTAGTGGAGCTACTTTGTTGTTTGTAGCTGGCTGTTTAGGAATGCTTCTTAAGGAACAAAATTTACTGACCGATCCAGTTAGACAGACTGGGAGAACTGGTTCTTGTAGTGCTGGAACGCACACTCTTTAAACACCATGAATTAATTTTACATTTAATCATTTAGTTGGTGAAATTTAAAGCACTTCAGGTTGTAAAGGCTCGAATGTTTTGAGCTGAATCTGATCACACGTGCAGAAAATGTCTGATGTTACAGTGGAAGGCCAAATTTTATGCATTTTCATTTTCATGTCTCCAAGATTTTGATCTCTTGCAACTTTCACACGCAGTTACTTTGTCTGACACCTTTAGCGGAGCTAGCTAAAACGTGTGATAATTTAGCGGTACTGAACCAGAATTTGAGTGAAGTGAAACCCCAACTGGACGTTAAAAGGAAAACCAAAAACAGGCAGCAATAAATTAAAAGAATCTGCGTCGCTTCCCTCGATACGCATTGAACCAGGAGAGACGCAGATAATGGCCACTAGGGGGAACTGTGACATTGAAAATATACTGTGTAGATATATTTGGGACATAAGAAAACACATAAGAAAAAAATCAACATTAACGAGAAGAATCTAACAAAACTCTATCCTGAACTTTGATCCACGGCAGGACCAGTAGTGACATTCTGGTTCAGGTAAGTCATTTTATTCTTCATCATCACCTTCATCAATCATAAACTTTATCTCTCAACAGAGCGACTGATTTTCTTTGAAGCCCCTGAAGTTCTGAAAGGTGAATTTTTTTTATCTTGTGTGCACAAAGTAAAAATTTAAACTTTCAGGACTTTAGGGGCTTCGTAATATTTTAAGTCATTCAGTTAAAATTTTTTAGATTTTTAAAAAAAGGCAAAGAGTGGAGATGAAGAGATGTTGGGTTCAGAGTTCCTGTCTGTGAACACATTTGTTAAATGGCCTTTGAAGATCCACTCAGGTTCCTAGAAACAGAGAGCAGATCCAGGACCCAAGTAAGGCCGGGTCCAGATAATGTTCAGTCAAATTGGTCCAACAGGGTTGAAGCATCTTCAGGAACTTTTCGGACTTGTCTTTTTTTTTGGACACTCGTTTTTCTGGACTTTGGATTCAGTAGGGTTTCAGGTTCTAGCTCAGTTTTGGATCGGGTCACAATGTTGGAGTTACCAAGATCTCGTATTTTCCGATCTTTTCTGTGACCCGTCCTTAAAGTTTGGACTAAAGGAGAACAACGATTTAGACAAGATTGATGTTAATTATTTGAAGCAAGCTAAAGCTTTTAGTATCGCCCTTTCATAAACTGGGGAACTTGTGAGAGACACATTTAAGAAAGACTGAAGCGGCGAAGGCCGAGATATCCCGACTTTTAGTACATTATATGGGTCAAACTCCAAAACCCTGGATCCTACAATTTTCATAAAGCAACTTGGTACCGTCTTTCAGTCAACCCAGTCCGCCTGGTGAATGCCCACGACCTTTTAAGTGCGCACCAGCTGTTTGTAACATGCGGTTTCATTAGAGAGGGTCTTCAAACTGGGGCCAGTTAGTTTCGCAGGGAGCTCCTCCATAACCACAGAAGACACTACACAAGTACTTTTCAGAGGCTGAGTGGTGCTGAGCATGGAGTAACCCTTTAAACTGCATTCGAGGTGACTGTTAGTGAAATTACACCAACAGCTCCAGGTGTGACTGGAACGCCTGCAGAGACGCATTTTACCACCAGAACAACAGATTCAAAGTCTCCGATCCACATCAACATCTACAGTGCAGATGGATCCTCTGATCCACGTTACCGACACAGTGTAAATACAGTGGGTCAGAAGTTCGAAGGGCAGCTGGTTTCTTGTTTTTGTTTGGAAACTCATGCGTTAGGAACGAATGAGACGAGGAGTTCCGCTGCATGAACTTGAGCAGAGGAAGAGGGAATCCCCAAAGGTGAGTTCAGACGTCCAGGCACTCTGTGTTAGAATTAATGAATTGAAGCATGAATTTTTAAGACTTTTCCAAAATATGGGATATCATCACACACGAATAAGACGTAAGTACAACTGTTAATCCAAAAGTTCATATCAAAGAGTGAACGTCAGAGCTGAGGACGATCTTTTGGACGATTTGTAGCAGATCAGATAAAAGCTTAATTAAGGTCTAGATTTGAATATTGATGTGGGTCCAGTCTTGGAAAAAGGGCCGTGGTATTCTGGGCTTAGATCAGTCCAGCTTGTCCTACCTCTGACTTTAAGGATGAAGGTGGTTTCACTTTGAACCAAGGGCAGTCCACCTTGAGCCAAGGCTCTGGATGTGTCCATAGCAATGACCTGCTGGAACTAAGGTGTATAGCCTTTTGGTGGAGATCAGTGTAGATCGGATTAAGGTTGAAGATGGTCTAAATTTAAGCTTCATATCTTTGTCTCTTGGGACGTGGGTGTTTTGAGTTTGGGACAAGGTTAGTCCAAACTGGATGGATGACCAACTCTGGACTCCAGACGACAGGCTCCAGATTTGGAATAGAAATGTCCATAGGGTAGTCCAAGAAAAAGGTTGCCTACCTTTGGGTCAAGAATGTCTGGATGTGAGCTGAAGGCAGTCTCGAATTGGACCAGGAGCCTACGTTGAGCCTAGGCTCTGGATCTGTCTATTGCAATGTCCAGATTTACAACTAAAGCAACCCTTTATGGTGAAGTGTAGTCCAGCTCTGGGCTGTAGGTTGATTCAAAATTGAGCTTTGTATCTTTTTTGTTTCTTGGGACATGGACATTAAGCATTTGGAATGAGGGTAGTTCAATTTTGAGGGACTACCCATAATTGACTCCAGATGACAGGCTCCAGATTCGGAAGAGATAGGGTCCAGAGGGAGGTCCAGAGAAAAGGTGGTCTGGAGAGGGGCTGAGAGGTGTCCTATTCCAGGTTTAGAACGGTCCTGCTTGGCCTACCTTTGGGTCAAACACGCCTGAATGCGAGCTGACGTGGACCAGGAACCCATCTTAAGCCTCCGCTCTAGATCTGTCCACTGCAACATCCAACTAAGGCAACCCCTTTGGGTGAAGTGTAGTCCAGTTATGGGCTGTAGGTTGACTCAAATTTGAGCCTTGTAACTGTTTTTTGTCGGTTAGGGTCATCAGTATTTCACAAGTGTGACCAGGGTAATCCCAAATTTGAACAACCCTCACTTGAGTTGGGCAAACAATGCTTTGGACATGAAAGGTCCGCAGGGTAGTCCAGTTTTGGGGTAAATGGATGTCTAGTGATGGGCAGAGTGACTGAGACCCAGCATGGTCTAAGAGTGGTCAAGATTTATACTGAGTGCAGAGAGTGGTTCAGGTTAAGGTCTAGGGTGGTCCTGATTTGGGTGTTGTCCAACACTGATCCAAATCTGAGTGGCACACAGATGTCTGGATAGTTTATGGACTTGGTGGAGGGAGTCCTGATTTAACCAAAGCTGGTAAACTGATCGGGTGGAGAATGTTTGGATCTTATTTTGGGTACTGGACTGACGTCTGGATTCAACAACAGGCGGTTGGACTGTGTAATTCAGCTAAATCCTGTTTGACACACTCTGGATAGAAGGCGCCTGTTAGCGCCTGGTGGATCTCTGTGTACGTATCTGTCTGCCTCTGTCCGTCTGTCTGTCCGTCTGTCTGTCTGCCTGTTTGATGGGTCTGTAGTTTGTGTCTGTGGTTAGCAGCTGCAGCCTTCTTTGGCCGGCTGGCTGTCTGCATTGAGGCGGCCTCCCTGTGGCGCAGACGGTTTGTGCTGGACTCCCGACTCAGCAGCGTTCAGATCCAGACTGCCATCTTGGATGTTCTGGTAAATCCTCTTTGCTGCTTCCAGGAAGGCTTCTTCCACGTTCTCACCTCTGAGGAGGAAGAGGATGGAAAGATTAAGATACAAACAGTAAAAAGTCTGACAGATAGGATTAAAAACTTTGTGCACATGGAACAAGTTTCACCTCATGTTTTTTCTGACAGTGTCTCATTTCAGAGGTGGGAGAAGTACTCAGATCTTTACTTAAGTTAAAGTATTAATACCACACCAAAAAAAATTGCTGCAAGTAAAAGTCCTGCGTTCAAAATCTTACATAAAAATACTAATAAGCATTAGCAGGAAATTGTACTTATTATCAAAAGTCAACTCTATACACTGTTGTGTATTTTAATCTATACCAGCGTTTACTTTAAAAACTGATCAGACGTTTGACGTTTAAGATCTTTATCTAAAAGTTATTAAAGCTGTCAGACAAATGTTGTGCAGTAAAAGGTAAATATTTACCTCTGAGATGGAGTCCAAGTATAAAAAAAGTATGAAATGGAAACACTAAAGTACAGGAAACTTAAATTTGTTCAGTAAACATGTAGTTCCTCTCCACCACAACCAGCTAACTGTGTGTGACGGATATATGATGAAAGATGTGTGCGTGTGTGTTTGTTTACTCACGTCTTGGCGCTGGCCTCTAGAAACAGCAAACCTGATCAACAACAGGAAGTAGAAATAATAATTAAATCTGACGACCTGTTTTCATCTCTATTTTTATTTGAAGATTTTACAACATGAACACACACTTACCGTTCTCCTCTGCAAACTGTTTGGCTTCCTCGTACGTCACGTCTCTCTGAGCCTCCAGGTCGGCCTTGTTACCAATCAGAATGATCACCTGCACACACACACACACACACACACACACACACACACACACGTAAGAAATAACACAGGACAAAGTACACCACCTAAACGTAATTAAATTAAAAACTAAATGCAGAGCCTGTAGGTACGGCATTTTGTGAATACATCCTTGGGGTTCTGGGGTGTGTGTGTGTGTGTGTGTGTGTGTGTGTGTAACTCACTGTGTTTGGGTTGGTCAGGTTTCTCGCATCTGTCAACCAGCTGCTCAGGTGATTATAAGTACTCCTCCTGAACACACAGGAAAAAAACAAAGCCATTCATCAAAAGATCAAACTAATATAAAACCACGTGACATCACCCCCAGACCCCCCCCTTTCACGCCCCCGTCAGTACCTGGTGATGTCGTACACCATGAGGGCCCCGGCAGCCCCTCTGTAATAGGACCTGGTGACGGCCCTGAAACGCTCCTGACCGGCCGTGTCCCAGATCTGCAGCTTCACCTTCTGACCGTGGACCTCCATGATCCTCGTCCCGAACTCCACCCCGATGGTGTGAGGACAGTCCGCCATGACTGCACACACACACAAAATATACACACCATTATGACACAGACACAGCAGCGCTGGAGTTAATCCAGGATTTAGACTTTACATTTTATAAATCCTGAATCTAAATCTATTTTCTAGTGTAAATACAATAAAAGCAAAAAACAGTTTTATTTTCAGATTTGAAGCGAAGTTACGATGCAAAACGTAAAAAAAGTGTTTGTATAAATATCCCACAGAAACAATAAACAACAAGACAAACCAAAACTACTACTTCTTCATGTTCTGTTAGTTCGAGGTTCAGAATTATCGTCACTAAATGATATGTCAGACGACAGCAGGAAAGAAGAAGAAAGAACTCACATTTTTTCTCTGTGAACTGGTGCAACAGACACGACTTCCCTACTCCCATATCACCTGGAGAGAGACAGCAGAGGTACAATCATGAGGTTAAAGGTCAGGAGGCGCTGGTTTCTGAACCAGTTTTCCTCTAAGTAAAAATTTTAAAAGTTATATTTCTGTGTTTAATAATCTCACGACTCTCCTGGATAATTAACAGTCATGCAGGTTTATGTTCTGACTGCCCGTGTTCCAAACACTACAATACCCATGAGCCTCAGCTGCTGACTGATCCACAATCAGAGTGTGAACTGATTTAAACTTCTGAATGTTGAAAGGTAATGCTTAGTTTCAGCTCAAAGCAGAATATGAAGATCTGTGACTGGATGTTTGTTGGAGCAATGCACCCTGGGAGTTGTAGTTGACTTCTCTCCTTGAGCTTTGACTGAGTTTGACTGCAGTCACGGCGAGGCCTTCCTGTCCTCACGTTGATAATTAGTTTACATATGACAGTAACGTTACTGACTGCTGCACTGTCAGATTCTTCAGTCATTTTATTTGTGACTTCTGTGAAAGTTGTGAGGCAAACTAACAATTGTTAGTTACACTTTACGTTTTGTTAACATAAGTTATTTGTGTCAACTGAGTCTTAAAGGTACACTCTGCAGAACTGTCAGGTACTTTTACTAAACACGCTCACCAGTGAAAGTCTTACGTTCTGGTACCTGGTTGCTACCTTTGTATAAAGCCTCGCCCTCACCTGACAGCTTTGGGGATACATGCTCATAATTATCTCAAACACAGAAATTAAGAAGTAGTGGAGCAACACGGCTCATAAAATCAAGACAATCTCATGATTCATTTTGTGATAAAAGCACCAAATTTGGAACATATATAGCTTCATGTATGTCGAAGGCATGTGGATATCGGGGCATCACAGATTGGCATTATGATGACCATGGTGGCAAAATCAAACATGGCCTCCACCTAAAAACCGTTTCGGCTTTAATTTTTGAACCAGATGAGCTACAAACGCAAGCTTGGTGTCCATTTTATGTTTTGTGACTATACGAAACACATCGGAGTGCTTATTCTTATGACTGGATGCATCTGGAACCCTAATCTGCATATTTCCAAGATGGCAGCTATCTAAAAAAGCGAGCATTGAGGGAGTGTGTTTGTTGGTCTTCAGTTTGCCGTGGTATGCTTTCAGCATATTTTCTGAGCATGCAGTATGTTTGAAGTTATTCTGGAGAATATTCTGGACAGTATTTGTCATTGTTTAGGATTATTACAAAAATAAGATTAACATACATTTGCATAAAGCCAGCATGTTTGTTCACGTCTGTGTTGCTAAGAATATCAAAACCTTGAAAAATATTCTTTAAGGTACATTTAGAACAGATAAAAAATGTGTGATTCATTTGCAATTAATCCCGAGTTAACTATAAACAATCATTTAATAATAAATATTGATAAACTTTATTTTTATGGCACTTTTAAAAACACAGTTACAAAGTGCTTTATGAGACAAATAATATAGTATACACCATCAAGATAAAAACAGCAATGAAACATTGAACACAGGCTGAGACCAAATAAAACAAAGTGTGTAATAAGAATAAATATGATGAAATGCGAAGAAATATTTTAATCGATTGACAGCCCTAATCTTTAAGCTTTAAAAACACGTGAATATTCAGATTTATGATTTATTATTTATCAGAGATATTTATTTGTGTGGTTGGGATTCATTACTGTTGGCTACTGTCATGTTTTGTGTGTCTTTACGGTGAAGTAATAATTAACAGTAGAATATGAGCCAGAACCAGATGTGCATTGACAGTGGAAAAGTGGACGCCTTTTAATAACTGTTCTTGTGTCTCTCCACAAGTCAATCATATCAATGGGCGTTCCACGGCTGCAGTCAAACCTGTCTAGCTTTTACACCCACAGGTTTATCTCAAACCATCTCTTTAGTTCTGATGATTAAACCAGCAGACGTTCATGTTGTCACCAACATTATCTCTGAGGAGCTGAACTGGACTTCTGAACGATATCACTCCTGACCCTTCACAGCTCTGTGAGGGTTAACAGGCGAGCTGACACAAGCAGCCAGTCGGTCACGGACTGGTCATATGTGGAAACCTTAATGTCTCTGGGAATCAGTTTTTACAGACATAAACTGGAGCACATATCTGTCTGAAGGTAGAAAATCAATTTAAAATCTGATGGTGTGAGTTAGAAAATGGTTTCTGTGAAGTTCAGTTTGCACAACTTGTAGTTACTTAATCAAAATATGCACAATTAAAACTATGATCCCATTACACATGGCATTATTTTAGAATTTAAATGTATTTGTAATTATCATACAATATACTCCTATACTTGAAAGTTGTAAAAAAAAGTGTACTCCAAGTTGTGAGGATTGTTGTAACAGGATAAAGTGGTGTTGTGTCGGCATGCTGGTGCCGTAATCCTCAAGTGCTGTTAAATGGGTGACACAACATAACACATAACTGATGTTACTCAAAGCCCAATTTTCATACTGGTGTCAACAAACAATTTGATTATATTTCCTTTGCTGCACTATTGTTTTGCGTAAAAGGAATCAAAGGCCTGTTGAGTTCAGTGATTTAAGCAAATAATAGCCCGGCATACTAACAGAAGTTTTACGGTACATTATATAAACTTTAAATGTGACTTTACTCACAGAAAATCATATCTAACTTCTGCTGTTGAAACAACGTCAATAAAAGTGAAACTTTTCACCAACAATTAAACCTCCCAAAATAACCAGCAAAATGTTTTTCCTAAAAATATCACTGTTGTTCTGGAGCTGTTCCATCCAAACATCAAATGTTTCTTAACTAGTGATGATACTCAGACGCACTCACGTCTTTTACTTGAGTAAAAGTACCAATACTGCTCTGTAAATATCGTACAGATAAACTAAATATTAACAGCAAAATGTTAAAGTATTAAAGTAAAACTACTTGTTGAGCAGAATGGTCCTTTACACAGTTATTATCTTATGTAAATATCATATTGTTTTAATATAATTATTGATGTTTGAACACATAAGCAGCACTTTAATGTTACAGCTGGTGACGTTATGACTCATTCTGGTGTATACTGTGGCATAGTTTAATATCATGTTTTATTAAATAGTCAAGTTGTGTTTGTGATGCCTGATCTGTAAAGTGACTAAAATGGTTAAATAAATGCAGTGGAGCTGAAGTATACAGAAAAAGAAAATGGTAATACTCAAGTACAGTAAAAGTACCTTAAAACTGTACTTGAATACAGCACCTGAGTGAATGTACTCACTTATTTTATTTAGTCTCTTTCACATGTAAACACACAAACCTGGTTTGAATCAGTGTGTAGTTTGGACACAGTCTGCTGAATTTAAAACCAGCCTCAGTGATGTGATGTGTGTGTGTGTGTGTGTGTGTGTTGCGTTCACTGACCTCCTTCAGGGTCATAAATCAAACTCACCGATGATGATGTATTTGAAGATGTAGGAGTAGTTGTAAGGTGCGGCTGTCATCTTGTTTCTGTGAGGAAAGAAAAACAGGAAAAGAAAACTGGTTTTAACAAAACTCTGAGTTCAGACACATCGGTCCACATCAGTCCACATCGGTCCACACCCTGTCCCAGAGTCTGGACCGACCCGCTCTCAGTGTTAATCACCTGAACCTGAAGAGAAACAAACAAAAGGAAGCAGCCCGGCTAGGCTAACACTCAGCTAAGCTAACACACCGAGCTGAGCTGCAGCAGGAGCCGTTAAACACCTTGACAGTCCCCCGGTGTGAAAGCTCCCGTCTTTAGCTGAAGTATTACACACCGTCAGCTGACTTCCCTCTCTCACAAAACCTCCCAATTCCTTTCTGTTAGCTCAGCCTAGCTCCGGAGCTAACCGGCTAACAGCTGCAATCCTGTCAACGCCTTGCTAACAGGCTAACAAGCTAACAAACAGGAGGTCATACTTATTAAAATAAACACCGTGATGGTGGACAGACACGGTGAGTTCTCACCGCCGGTGTTTTACCTTCGGTCCGGGTGTCTGTCTAACCGGTGAACCTGATTAAACCGCTGATGAACGGGAAGTTATCTTTGTTAGCTGGTTAGCCCGGTGATCCGTCAGGAAACCTTTCCCCTCTTCCGTGATTCTTCCTCTGCAGAGATAACACGGGAAATACCGCGAGACTTCGAGGTGTCCACCGCCACCCAGCGGCAGAGAGGACGGTTACAGACTGGTGGCTGAATCTGACGAGGATAATGTTAATGTTATCATTTTAAAAAATTCATATATGGAAAATAAACGAGATAAAGTTGTTTTCCTGGAGGATGAAAATTAAGGAAATTAAATTAAATTAAATTAAATTAAAGTAAAGTAAATTTAAATGAATTAAGCCTAAATTAAAAGAAAAAAATGTTTCAGTAGACTGATAAATGTTGTTGGCAAAATATGTGATTCATAAATGGAATTTACTAATTAAAAAAAAACTTATTTTGTTGTTTTCGTGTGGGATGTTAAATTAAATTAATTTTAATCAAGTAAGTAAATTATCAGCCTAACTTTTAGAAAAGGTTTTAATTAACTGATTTTTTTTTTTTTGCAAAGTATTTTATTCATAGATGAACTTTAACAATAAAAAACCTTATTTTGTTTTTATCTTGAATAATATTGAGCAATATGTCTAATAAAAAGGCCATTGAGACACTTAAATTAAGTAATGAATAATAAAATAAAATAAATAGATAAATAAAAATCAGTAAACTTTATTTTAGGATACTTAAGTCAGGAGTAACTAAGTATATTTACTCATATTATACTCATTATATTGTACTTAAGATTTTTTAAAACTTTTAGCTTCTTGTACCTTACTTGAGTATTTCCATTTTATGCAGCTTTACACTTCTACTTCACGACATCTAAGAGGGATATACAGTACTTAAATTTTTAAATGAAAACTTTTGTTACTACTTATTTTATAGACTGACATTAATGATACAAAATATAATCAACAAATAAATTATGATGAATTATTACAGATGAATGTAAAACTTTATTGATCCTCAGAGGGGACATTCACAAACTACCTTTATCATAAATAATATTCAGAAATAATGAGAACTTTTGGGTCTTAAAATATATTTTGAAGCTACTGCTAAATACTTCTGTACTTTTACTAACAAAGTATTTCTACTCTGATATTACTACTTTTACTTCTGAGTACTTCCTCCACGTCTGTTTGCATCTCTGCTGTGATTTTAAACCTTTATGAATAAAAGCAAAGATGATGTAAAATCGAGTTTTTAATATTACAGTAACATTTTGCAGATCAGTGTTTAGTCCAACATCAACGACAGAAACGTTCTCCTGAGATTATTATAAAATCCAGTAAATATAAAAATTATACAAACAAGTGACGTCATGGAAAAAAAACATAAATCAACATGTGTATAAAGTGTAGAACAGACAAACTGTTTCAGTTAGAGAACACGTGGGATTAAACTAATGTGTGACCTGAATTTACAACAATAAGTCATCAGACTGAACAGATTAAAGTTTTATCGACACACAGATGATTTCTATCATAATTTCACAGACACACAGGATCAAACTCAGCTGACGGACAGTTCAGACTCCAGCTGTGACGGCGGCTCATCTGATACAGCTGCTGCAAAACTCCAACAGAACCAGGAAGTGCACTGGATTCTAATGCATCAATATATTATTGAAATATAAATACCCCAAATAAACTCAGATTAGTGGTTAAAATGATGTTAATAAAGAAAGTGTGAGAGCTTTTATGTGTGTGTTCAGTTTATGAAAACTACCCACACCACTTTAATAATGTTGAAAACCAGCCGTGCACTGTTTCTGTTTATAATAAATCAGGTGTCTGCACATACGGATATGTTCACACATTTGTTGCCACAGACGGTCGCTGCAGTCTGGATACAGTTTGGGCTGCTTTGTATTATACGGAAAACCTGGTGGGACTTTCAGGCACAGTACTAAACTGATTCCATTTTGACTCAATGAACAGGGACGACTTTGTGTTTGTAGGTCATTTTACATCAGTGTTTAAAAATGACATGTGGTGTTCCCCCAGGCTCCATCCTGGGACCTCTACTGTTTAACACTTACATGCTACCACTGGCTCAGATTATAGTCCCTTTTAGGACCGACATCACTGTGACATCATGTTATCACCTGGAGGTGCAGCTGCCTCTCCCCCACAGGGCTGTAGGCTCCATAGGAGTGTTAAAATGTGTTTGTCTTGTTGTGTTATTGGGAGCCAGAATAGAAGGAGTCATGGCTCAAAACCAGCCGCCACTGCCCGTCAACAAAAACAAAGACAACTATGGTTAAATGTGATAAGACCAAAGGACTGGACGGAGTCCATCATCAAAAATGCTCACATGTGCAGCGCACACTTCATATCAGGTTAGGGAAAAAGTATTTCCTGTTGTAGGGATGAATAAGGTTATGTGTATTAAGGGTTATCATGTCCACCTCATCAGAAACTGGGGAGGGATTAAGAGGAATGTTGGATTTCTCTGCAACGCTAACTTTTTAGCACATTAGCTAACGTTAGCTTCCATAGCAAAACAAACAAGTGTGGTCCTCCTTTGTAAGATTGGCTTCCTGTGACATCATCCATCCACTGAGTGAGAGCATACGGGTCGGCCAGTCTGGTCCCGTTGGTCAGTGTTTACTTATTCCAGTAACACTGGCGGTCCCGGAGAGTGAGTGACCTGACATGGTGCGTTGGTAAATTCAGTCTGACGCTCTACACTAAAATGAGAGCCCTGTTGGTGGAATAAACGCAGCGTTATATTTCTACATGAATGAACCAACGGTTAAGTTAATCACACATCATTCACTCCGCTCGGCGCTCTGCTGCTCCGTCTCCACAGACAGAGTGTCCAGAGTGCGCTCTGCCACTCTGAGAGTGCGCTGCTCTGGATAACCCAACGCTACATTCAGACAGCGCTCCCAATTTATCAACGCTCCAGTTTGTGTCAGAGTGCGCTCCCACACTCACAATGAGTGTTTCTGAACGCACCACTCACATCATCTTCCTCCATCGTCTAAAACAAGACAACACAACTTGTTAGCTAGTGCTAGCTAATGTCTGTGGAGAACTGTTTTGCCTCCAGCTAAGCCCCGCCCACCAATAAACATCATACCGTTTACTAACAGTAAAAGGGTCTATAAAAAAACAATAAAATATGTCACCATGATTATGCAGATGACACACATTGACACATCATCAGGGGGACTATGGTCCGTTATGACCTGGACAAATCACAAACTGGATGTGCCACAATTTTCTTCATCTAAACAAACTGAGGTCATTGTTTTTGAAGCCAAAGAGGAGCTTTGGCTTTTGATGTTTTATTACAAGCAGTCTGAACTACCTTGCTGCTGAAATGTGCTTTATAAATACACTTTCAATGCAGGAAGGTTGAATTAAACTTTAAAGTGATGATCTACAGGATCTGATTTTGGTGACATATGGTGATATGAGGTCATCACTTGGCACTAATCCAACAGACTCTAATAAACTGACGTTCCCCGTCAGCTGCTTGTCCTCCTCACAGGTTCATCTGTTGTTTGTTGCTTCGGGTTCTTCAAACATCGAGTGTTTACAACAGCAAAGAGAAAATATCCATGCAGTGGGCAAAGGCTGCATCAGTGTTATGTTAGGGTGCACATATTAAAGTGGAAATCAACCACTGTGCAACCAAAACAGGAAGAGGATAACACTTTAGTTTTCCTTGCTTGCTATCAGTAGCTATCCAAAGTTACTGCCCCCAGAGGAGGAAATGACGGTTAGTGGAACAACTGCAGTAACAGTGGAAAATAAACTGCAGTGTTTCCTGTGTTGGTGGAAGCTGCAACTCTGACAAACACAGAGAGAGAGATCCAGTTTGTCTTTGTGACAGAGACGCCAACAGTGATGCCACTTTAAGTTTGGTACTTTAAATCCACGTTAGATTACAGAAGGTTCTTCAGCTGAGAGGAGAAGAGTTTGTAGACTGTAGATGTGATGATGATGATGGTGGTGATGGTGGTGATGATGATGGTGATGATGATGATGATGATGGTCAGTTAGTGTCAAGCAGCAGCTTTAGTTTCCCATTCCTGTAAAAACGGTAACAAAATGACTGAAATGAAATGACTGACATCAGTGTGTGTGTGCGTGTGTGTGTGTGTGTGACTGACCTTCCTCCTCTGGAAAACCTTCCCGTGTTCAATGAAGAGTGATGAAGGAGCTCGTCTCAGAGAGTTTTTAGCCGAGGCCGTCCGTCGCAGCAGAGGGTTCAGGAAACCAGCCTGGACCAGCAGAGGTTACAGCAGACACCAGTGAAACCAGTGAAACCAGTGAGCAGAGGAGGTAAAACCAGAGTGTAGCTCAGCTCTAATACAGAACATGTAAACCATGACTGATTCTCTGAACTCACAGCAGGAGGTTTTACTTCTATATTTACACTGAACAAATATCAAAACACAAACATGTGCATCCCACCTGAGCGCGCTCACTGCAGACGGCCAGCGACTGTCTGAAGGTGCGTTTGTTTTGCTTCCCAGCAGACGCTAGGTTGATCTCTGACCCCGCCCTCAGCTGCACTGTCCTCTTTCCCGTCAGCTCCAGCTTCTGAACGCTTCGCTCCACCTCCACAGACTTCCTGTCTGAAACACACAAACAAAAAATAAAGTCTTTACTGAAGCTGTTTTGGGCTTCAAAAAAATTCAAGTAGAAACAGGGGAGATTTTTTTGATTAATTTAAAATGCAGGTCCTTGTTTCGTCCCGTGAATAGAAGACTTCCTGTACGCGCGAGACTCACTGTGGCTGGTGAAGACGGTGTTGCTGTAGGTCACTGAGTCTCTGGACGACACCGAGCTGCAGCGAGAGTCCTGAGAGCTCTGGAGCTGAGACATCACAAACACACCAATCATTATTATTAATATCTGTCATAATCAATAACCAGGCAGGTCTCTGTGGAGTACAGAAGCCCACTGCTGCCACAAAACTACACATCTAAAACTAAAGAAAACTGAAAATAAATCAGAGTCTGATGATTCTGACATCATTAATATCATTACTTTATGTTTGAAATGTTTGTGCTGTGCTGTGAGGAGCGTACCATGTGCTCCAGGATGGAGGTGTTGGAGTAGACGGGCTGGTCTCGGCCGGTCCCACTCAGGTGGAACGGGTCGTCCATGTAGGTGTTGGAGGTGGGGAACCTTCGAGTCTGCAGCCCACTGAGGAGAGAAGAGACAAAACTACAGAAGGAGCACGACGACCGGAGGAGCAGACAGAGGGGTGTGTCTTACCTGAGAGCTCCACCTGTGAGCTCCTGTGTGCTGTTGTCATGGTGACTGTGATGGGCAGCTCCGTCCTGCAGCAGCTTCAACCATCGCTCCTTCTCACCTGAACTACTCACCTGGAGGGCAGATGAAACCATGAACACGACTGTATGAACGAATGAAATGACCTCCTGTTTCCTGTCCTGTCAGCTCACCTCCAGCACGGCCACCTGGTCACCGAGCATGCTCAGTGTGATCCTGTAGGAGTGGTTGGTGTCGGGCCCGGCTCTGACCTCACAGCCTCTGAGCTGGATGGTGTACTGAGGCGACCTCTTCACCTCTTCCTCCTCTTCCTCCTCCTCCTCCTCCTCCTCCTCTCCGAACATGTTGAGGAGCCCCGCCTCCACCTGACACAGTAAACTCTGCCACTGACAGTTCATCAGCACGCTCAGCACACCTGTCAATCAAACACACCTGAGGTCAGAGGTCACGCTAACATGACATCATCCAATGACTGTTCAGTTAAAGGAGCTTAACACTGTTCTTCTTTAGTGCAGAACAGTGGAAAGTACTAGATGTTGTTTGCACACAGCTCTCAACATGGACGTGGCTGAGCTGGAGGCTAGCAGCTAACAGCGCTAACAGTGCTAACAACATGACAACAACATAAGGGGCATAAGCACATACAGCCAGCAGCAGCAGCGACAGGGCTTGACGCTAACTTTTTCAACTTAGGAGCACATGTGCTCCTTTTTCAACTTAGGAGCACATGTGCTCCTAAGTTGAAAAAGTAAGGAGCGCACAAAGAACTTTAGGGGCACAATGTAAATTGATCAAATAATGTGTTTTCCGTAATAGACGTGATGCAAATAGACATTTACAAGCAAAATTATTTAATGAACTTGTATACAAAATGCATGGAAAGGTAAAATCATCAAGTTTTGAAAAAGTATTGCAATTTAATTTTGTCTTTAATGTTATTATCTTATATATATTATCTTTGCAATATGATTATCTTATATAATGTTATTACTATCCTAAAACATTCTCCACGTCGGTGGAGAACGGTCCCTAACTGCAGGGAGAACGGAGCAGGTTTCCCTGGAGGTCCGCCGCTTAACCCTGTCTGTCTCCTCCGCCACACTTTGACTTATTTCCACGCTGCCGACAGTGGGACTTATATTCATTGTGCTGACAGCGGCTTGGAAAACGGCCTATAACCGTGTCACACGGGGAAGAGGGAAGGCTGCTGGAGTTCCTCCAACATTTGCGGTTAGAGTATCGTATTTTTTTATTGACAAAAATATAGGCTGCTTCGGCTGATTTTTTTATGCTTTTATGGTTTTATGCTGATTTTTTTTATAGTTACCTGGCAGGGGAGATACCATGATCTAGAGGGTGGTTCACCCAGGGCGAGGCTCGGTCATTGCACTCCGATTGAGCTGACCTCTGCTAATTCCCCAAATGTGGGAATCTCAACTGCATAATCTTTTTTAGGGCGGCAGTAGCTCAGTCCATAGGGACTTGGGTTGGGAACCGGAGGGTCGCCTGTTTGAGTCCCCGTCCAGACCAAATATGGAGCACTGACTGGTGGCTGGAGAGGTGCCAGTTCACCTCCTGGGCACTGCCAAGGTGCCCTTGAGCAAGGCACCTAACCCCCCAACCGCTCAGAGCGCCTGTCATGGACAGCCCACTCTGACATCTCTCCACTTAATGCATGTATAGGTCCTGTTTGTGCATGTGTGTGTTTGGACCTGACAACAGAGTGAAAAAATTGAATTTCCCCTCAGTGATTAATAAAGTATATAAAAAAATTTTTTTTAAAAATGTGCCCCTAAATATTTTTTACAGTTCGCACACACCTATTTTTAGTCGCAAATGCGAGTGAAACACTCGCACTGTTGAGCGCTGCCTGGACTTTAGAGATACACCTAATTAAGGGCTTCACTGCACTTGCAGACTCGTGGACTTTGCAGGGTACATGTCCCGGAAGTTTGGAGTGCAGAGGGCTCCAACTCTACGACTCATCCAGTCCATGAGGGGCCAGAATTTGTTCTGGTGGCGCGCTGGCAGAAGTGGAGCGTTGTGGATCAATGAAAACAGTAAACAGTGTTTGGGTGGTAATGCGTTAATGTAATTATATCACCCAAAATCTTGTTGGTAACGTGTTGCGTTACTTCAGAACTGCTAAAACTTAAAAAAAAAAAAATCCATACGTGAGATTTATATCTGGTTATCTGCAGGAACACATGAGCAGACAGAATTCACCAACTTGCGTGAGGACACTTGAACGTTTCCACAGCGCTGACTGAACTAAACTTGAGACCTGTCGATTAGCAGCTTTATTTTATACAGTCCACACTTGGTCCACGCAAGGGACTCGAACTGGCAACCTCCTGGTTCCCAATCCAAGTCCCGGCAGATGGAGCTACTGCAGCTTTAACAGCACTCTCTCTGGTTTACAGACTTTAATAATAGTAATAATAACACTCATGACATCAGTACCTTTGTCTTTGCTGAGGCTGCAGTGAGCTGAAGGTTTCTCCTCCTCAGAGTCACTCTGGACTGTACTGGACTGAAGAGACACGAAAAACACACAGAAACTTTAAACCAACACTTTTTATTATTGTGTCATGTGAATAAATGTGCCGAACAGGACCAGAGAGCTGAGGCACATTCACACACAGCTAAAGGTTTCACAGTCTGACATTCATTACTCACTGACGGGAACATTTACGATGGAGCACTGGAAACATCTGATCTGAAATACGTGTTAAATAATCAACCTCACCTTCTTTTTCAAAGTGAAACACGTCAGCATTAAACACACATTTACATTAATATTTCAGAACCACCTGAATGATGGTCTCACCCTGCAGGACAGCAGCTGGTCTGATCTGACCAGAGACAACGAGCTCCGACTCTCCACCTCAGCTCCAACACTCACCTCCTCTATCACCTGCACACACACACACACACACACACACACACACACACACACACACACACACGTACAATACAACTGATAATTTATAGATTCATCAATAATACTGAAATGAATCAAATTAAAATTCAGTAAATGATCAGCTGTCCTGGAAACACCACACTGAGTTGGTGTGTAAAATACAGGTCACCGTTACGTGGCTGGATGACGATCGATTGTTTGGTCTTGTGCAGAAAAAGGTCCAATACTAACAAGTTGAAAGGGGGCATATCTCCACCTATCGTAGAGGAGTCGCACATACTTGGCTCATTAAATGGATTCCCCTCCCGTGCTTGTATACTGGGACAAGGACAGTAGGCCAGTTAAATGTCCTCGTCCAGCATCCCACTCCCTATGAATACAGCACAGGGAGTGTTAACAATGAGTGTAGTGAAAGTTGTGTGTGTGTGTCTGACCTTCCTCCACTCGTCGGCCTGCTGGAAGCTGCTGTAGCCCAGCACCAGTGTCTCTGATCCCAGTAACACCAGTTTGAGCTGGTGCTGGATCTTTCTGTTGCTCTTTGACTTGTAGACGAGCTGACAGCCGCGCAGGTTGATCTCCAGCTGAGGGAGCAGGTCCTGAGCACACTTATAACACTGACACACACACACACACACACACACACGCACAAACAATACATCATCTGAAAACTGGGAACCTGAAGATTAATTTCAATTATGACCATTTTTTTTCCAGTCATAAATCTGTAACAGACATTGTGTTTCAGTCAGGTGCCTGATCAAACTTTGAAAGTTGAGACAGGCACAGCACATTATGATGGACGTATATGACGGCCATTCCTGCAATCAATAACATCTCATTAAGTCCAGTTCTGACTAAAGATTCGTGACGAGACCAAACCGTTTTACAACGTGCAGAGAAAAGTTGCAGCGGAGCTCGATGATGTCACCTGACACTCAGCTGCTCCACGTCCACTGCAGCACTTCCAACGCAAGCGACAGAATAAAATTAGAAATGGGGCGTCCAACAAGACCAAGCTTGATCAAATCCAAAGTCAACGCAGCCGTCTACTAAGAGATTTTAGGGCACTTCATGCTTCTGTCTGCTGACCAGCTTTATGGAGATGCTGATTTCTTTTTCCAGCAGGACTTAGCCACAGAGGCAAACCTTCTTGTACTTAGTTTGCTGACCATGGTGTTACTGTGTTTGACTGGCCAACCAACTCACCTGAACTGAACCCCACAGAGAATCTATGGCGTATTGTCAAGTGGAGGATGAGAGACACCAGACCCAACAATACAGACGAGCTGAAGGCCTCTATCAAATCAACCTGGGCGTCCATAACACCTCAGCAGTGCCACAGGCTGATGGCCTCCATGTCACGCCACACTCATGCAGTTATTCGTGCAAATGGAGTGCATACATTAACATACTTTTAAGAAGGTCGACATTTCTGTATCACTTTATATGAAAGTTTCACTTTTTGAAACTTTTCCATTATATTCAAATTTTTTGAGATGCACCTGTACAATAGGTGAAAACAACACATTTACTCTACATGGTTTTTGCCCAAAACCGCACGAGACAAGCATAAAGTGGACACGTCTGCAAAGAGAAGACACATTGTTACCCACAGAACCTATTTTCATTCAGATATCTTGAGGTCAGGGGTCATGGGACCCCTGTGAACATGACCATGCCAGTTTTTCCTCTCGCCAAAAATTAGCCTAAATTTGGAGCATTATTCCCTAGAAGCAGAATTCTTAGGTTATCTAGTTTCATATCACACCAGTATCATCACTCCAGCTTCAAAACTCAGCCCACTACAGCCTCTGACAGACAGGACTATTGTTGGGGATCACTGGCAGCCTGGCAGGTTTCAGAGTTCATGTAAAAACAAGATTTGACTGTTGTAGTTGCCTCTTGTGGAAAACTTATTAAATAAGTAAAATCAATATTCTGTACAGTAACTGAAGCTGTCAGATAAATGTGAAGGAGTAAAAAGAGAAAGAAGAGACTCGAGTGCAGCAGCAGAACTCACCAGCAGCACGTTGCTCCTGATGATGAACAGCTGTTTGGTCCACTGTCCGAGCCACTTCCTCTTCCACAGGTAACCACACAGGCGGGACTCGGGGATGGGTCTCAGGCAGGGCTGGGAGGCGCTCCACTGGATGTAGTGAGCTCTGTCCTTCACAGACTCCTCCTCATCATCATCATCCTCCCCATATGACTCATAGTGACTGCTGTCTGACTCCGCCTTCTCTGAGGGAGGGACCAGGACGTGTTTATGAAAGGTTTACAACATGTTTCTGTGTGTGTGTGTGTGTGTGTGTGTGTGTGTGTTGGGGGGTACCAGTGTTAGTCGTGGTCGTGTCAGGTAGGTACGGTTCTGCCTCCTCGTAGGTATCTTCATCATCATCACCTCCGAGGCCGCCTGGAGGGAGCGGCGGCACCACAGGGCCCTGCGTGGATGGATGAAGGGGTTTAAAGACACTTCAGCAGTACGGTGCAGAGTTTTCAGCTGAATATGACGGATGACTGACTGACTGAGCGCTGCATGCCGACGTGTTTGTTCTGTCAGCTGACAGTTACGTGGTTGCTGCACACCGGCACACAGAAATGAAGCAGACCCCTTGACAACAGCCTGACAACGACGTTAGTTATTCTTTATTTTAAGTGAGTAATCCCAATACCAGACGAATCAGTCAACTCAAAGGTCTGGACTCAGGCGACAGGAGGAGCAAACTGAACCTGTTGAAACCACAGATGATTTCATCACAGAAGCTCCTGTGAGGAGGAACAGATGGGCACATATGTGAGGTCACTGTCACTGGAGCTGCCAGATTGAAAAGATCTTTAAAAGTAACTCCGTCGTGTCAGACAATGGATCAACATCAGGGGCATGACAGTCCTGAGAGACGCAGTCTGGGCTTTTCTGAGCTGCGTTCACAAGCTGTTTTATTCGTCATAGATCTTAACAACAATTTACAGAAAGAACAAAGCAGACATGTCTTGTTGCATGATCCAAACCTAAATCAAAACTCACCATTTTCAGCGCGTAGGCTGTTAGCTTGGAGGTTGTTGTTTCCTGTAGTGAAGGGGATTTGGAAACAGTAACACGCAGTTAGTGGAAGGCCAAAATAACTGGCCAATGACAGGTTTACAGCCACGCGCTGTGTCTCAGTTCAGGGGCTGCAGCCTTAGAAGGACGCTGCCTTCACTGTCGACGTCAGCCGCGTCCTTTGAAGACCGCATCAGCCAAATCAAACGGTCTCTGAAATGGGACGGTCTGGTCTGCGGAGGACTTCCTGGTTGCATCACCAGTTGTTCTCTCCCCAACCCTTTGGAGTTACTGTTACCTAGCAACCAGCCGCGCTTGACGAAAGCAGGAGTAAGCTAGTAAGGTAGTTAGCCCTAAATCATGGACCCAGAGATTGTTATTATACATATGTTTTATTTAATACTTGAGGAGATGATTCACCGCTGGAGACGCCTCCGTCTGATATATTTCAGGCTGATGGAGCGTTTTCAAGTAAACTTATTAAATTCAGATTGTTTAAGCTGTGTGCTTTTAGCTAACGTAATGCTAACAACAGTTAACCGTTATCTAGTCAACAACTGTTAGTTAACTTCACTTAATATATTCATCACCAGCACGCAATGCATCCTGGGATAGGTTGGGCCACGAAGGATTCATCCGTTGCATCCTCCAAATTCTGGGAAAGAAGGCTGCATGTCTCTGCCGCATCTGAAGGAGCCTTCGAAACTGGACGGCCTTGGTCGCGCCGATGTGACGCAATCGGTCTTCGAAGGCTGCTGCCCCTGAACTGAGACACAGCTGCTGTCTCCATCCGGTGAGTCAAACTACCCCGAAAGTCTTTTACGTTCAAGTGACACAGACTCCTCGTGGTCGTAGTAATTTTGAGTCTTTCAGAGGTGAGGTGACGTTGTTATAGAGGGAGGAGGTCAACAAGACACCAGAGACCACAGTCCCCCTGACCACATGATTACAGCTGGAACCACCTGACCTCGACGTATAGGTGATTTTAACTCCTTAAACCTGATCAAGTTATTTCTGTGTCCAAACCAAAACTTAACCACAGATCAGAAAACACTCCTGTAAGTCCTTCTGGAGGGCACGGACTTGTTGTGTTCACGCTACTCTTTTAGCACAAAAGATGACAGATTATTTGTGAATGAAACAAATAAATAAACTTCTTGAATTTGTGGGACAAACCAGCAGCTTCTTTATACCTCCACAGTTTGGGCTCAAACCTCTGTCACACTATTGAGATAAATTGAGACAGATAAACCACCTGGTAAACAGAGTCAGGGAGAGAACGTGCTCAGGGTTAAATGTTGGACAGGGTTCCTACAACTTAATTTTATTGAGACTTTTTTTAAGCCACTCAGAATGAAACCAGTTTTACAGTAACCCAAACTGCATTTTGAAGTTGCAATTGTAAGAGGTTTTGGGACATCGAGCTTTTTATGTCACACAGGCGACATTATTACACATTATTTTGAGATTTTACAGTGCAGTGTCAGAAAAAAAATGTAAAATCCTACGTCCATTGTCTGAGCATTTTTAAGGTGTTTTAAATGTTGATTTAAAACATTTTAATACGAATGAAGGTCTTCTTTTTAGATAAATGAATTCAATGCCTTGTAAGACATTTTAAGGATCTGCAGGACCCCCGTCAGACACTATGAGACAGGACATTAACACTTTGCAAACCTCCACACTGTCACCATCCTCTCAGCCTAACGTCACACTGCTGATCTGAACCGAAGCTTCATGCAGCCACTGAATCTAAAATAACGTCTGCAAACTGGTTACATATGAACCAAATTTCCCAGAGTTAGTGGGTGTGTGTGTGTGTGTGTGTGTGTGTGTGTGTGTGTTGTGTTCATCCATCACGTAGACCAGATGCTAATCAGCTGCCATCAGTGACCACTTCCTCCCTCTGCAGAGCTCTCAGCCAATAGGAGGACAGATAGAGGGGAGATGGCCTCATATGTAAACACTGAGCATCCTGTCACTCCCTCCAACACACACACACACACACACACACACACACAGAAACCCTGCCGTCTCCTCCCAAACCTCAGGAGGACTCAGTCTGTCATTACTGACCCACATCACTAACCCTCCTCCTCCTTCTTCTTCTTCTCCTGTTATCTAAAATAAAAAAGTGCTTTTTTTATCAAACCTCGGGGGAACCATCGTGAGCATCAGGAGGTCAGAGAGTGCAGGAGAGTCAAACATCTACAGTGTGAAGACAACGACAGAATCGTTTCATCTGTAGGGCTGCAACGGTATGAGATTTTCACGGTCTGACAACCGTCTCGCAGTAGTAAATATCGCAGTATTAAAATATTAGAGAATCATTATGAGAATGATCCTTAAAGGAATGAAGACAGAAGGGTTATTGTTGCTTGAATAAACTGAAACTTTTAGTTAATGAACTTTGTGTAAATGTCTCCTCTTAGAAAATAACTCAAACAAAAGAGAGATTCAACGTTCAGATACATTTTTTTCAATATCATAAAACAAATGTACACAGTACGATTATTGTCAGCTTTCATATTAGATTAAATTGCGTCATTTCTCTTGTAGTAAAAGATGCTCCTGTGCAGTGCTATGGAAGTACTCAGAGGGGTCGTACACATGCCTCGTCTATAACCATCTGGAAAACATGAGGTCAGGCGCTGGGTGCTCATGGACTGGACACAAGCTCTGTTTTCTGCGCCCTCAAATTCACTGTTTTCAATGTAGAGGCACAACAGGTGAGCTCAAACACCAGAGCGACACCATCTTAGCTTGTATGCATCAGGGCGTGACGGCTGCACCCTGAGATAAACTTAGTTCAACTTTCAGAACACAGCGGCGTGCATCGTGCACCCTAGGTCATGTCACGGGGAACCACCAATCACAGCTGACAGATATCTTTCCTTCTTTTCCTTCTTGATCATTTTAATAGGCCGACACACAAACAGCATCTAGAAGGAGATCAGCTCTGACCTCAGGACTTCAGGTAAATAGGCCATGATACGATACACTTCTTAAGGTTGCTTAGCAACCTCAGATGCAACCTGCCACCGGGCTCTCAAAATCTGGCACAAAAAGGCAGAAGAGGCCGTACACATGCTGCATCTTTAACAGCCTGGCAAATGTGAGGTCGGGCACTGGGCATTACTCTTTAATAACAGTGACAATAGTGTGAAATGGCATCACAATGAGACAGAGCCTGAAGTCAAAGGGAAAGTTTGTGAAGCTGAAACCATGAAATGTTTTTACAGGAAAATGACTTCAACCATCAAAATAGTGAGTCAGTGCAGGTTGGAGTGTATCCCAGCATGCATTGGGTGAGGAAAGTGAGAGATGTGTGTGACTCACCCCGTTTGTCAGCCACACAGGTGAGTCCTGATTTAAGAGCAGCTTAGAGGACCGGACTCCGTCTGCACAAACAAACACACCTGTCTTTTATACCATGAACACTGGAATCATGTTTCATCTCCTGCCTTTATAAATATTATCAGAACTCTGATTTCAGGTCAACACAATTGTTAAAAAAAATCTCAACTGTGTCACTTTTTAACACAAGTCGAAACATCAGGAAATATTCTACAGTCTCTGACTGGACACGTGATTTACTCTCAGTGTTACCTGTTCCAGGTGTGTCTGACAGCTCGTTGCTAGGAGACGATGACGGACAGCTCATGATCATGTACTCAGCATCTTCCACTAGAGACACAACAGACACTTCAGCAGAGTTATTACTGCAGTTAGTTCACAGAGTCATCTCACTGGTTTTAGTGGCACTGCAGCCCAGTCGCTAGAGGAAAAGACGGCCATTTTATGCTCCTGGGAATCACCGATAGTTTATTGGTACGTTTCATTTCAGTGTCTCTGAAGTGACGTAGTATATGAGCTGACTTTGTCATCAGGAGGTGGAGGGGATGGTGGATTGTGAGTCACCTAGGTGAGACGCCTGCCAAGCTGCACACCACTGTCAAAGACCAACAACAAAAACAATTGTTTTTTAGTGAGACATTGCTCTATTTCCAGCAGCTGTTAAGCTACCAAATGTGGGTGTAACGACCGTCAGCGAGTGTAGTGCTGAAAGCATTGTTTTTTACTAAGACGTGATCACATGATCTATTCCTGACCATAACCAAGTGTTTTTTGTAACTAAACCGACCCACATATAAACCACAGCGTCATTTAAAGTTTCAATCTACACTCACAGGCCACTTTATTAGGTACACCTTGCTGGTATCAGGTTGGACCTCCGTTTTAATTCTTGGTGTCACAGATTCAACAAGGTGCTGAAACATTCCTCAGAGATGTTGGTCCATATTGACATGATGACATCACACAGTTGATCCATGATGAGAATCTCCCGTTCCAGCACATCCCAAAGGTGCTCTATTGGACTGAGATCTGGTGACTGTGGAGGCCATTGGAGTACAGTGAATTCATTGTCATGTTTGAGATGATGTGAGCTTTGTGACATGGTGCGTTATCCTGCTGGAAGTAGCCATCAGAAGATGGGTACACTGTGGTCATAAAGGGATGGACACGCTCAGCAACAATACTCAGGTAGGCTGTGGTGTTTAAACCATGCTCAGTTGGTACTAAGAAAATCTCCCCCACACCATTACACCATCAGCAGCAGCCTGAAGCGTTGATACAAGGCAGGATGGATCCATGCTTCCATCTGAATGTGGTTTTTCCAATCTTCTATTGTCCAGTTTTGGTGAATTGTAGCCTCAGTTTCCTGTTGTTAGCTGACAGGAGTGGCACCTGGTGTGGTCTTCTGCTGCTGTAGCCCATCTGCTTCAAGGTTGGACAAGGTGTTGTTGCTTCAGAGATGCTCTTCTGCACACCTTGGTTGGAACCAGTTCTTATTTGACTTCCTGTTGCCTTTCTATCATCTTGAATCAGTCTGGCCATTCTCCTCTGACCTCTGGCATCAACAAGGCATTTTGGCTCACTGGATATTTTCTCTTTTTGGGACCATCCTCTGTAAACCCTAGAGATGGTTGTGCTGAAAATCCCAGTAAACACTCAGACCAGCCCGTCTGGCACCAACAACCATGCCACGTTCAAAGTCACTTCAATCACCTTTCTTCATCATTCTCATGCTCCGTTTGAACTTCAGCAGCTCGTCTTCACCATGTCTACATGACTAAATGTTAATGAGTTGCTGCCACCTGATTGGCTGATTAGATATTTGTGTTAATGAGCAGTTGAACAGGTGTACCTAATAAAGTGCCTGGTACATGTATCTGCTACGTAATAATGCACAAATGTAACAGAAATGGACAATGCAAACATTTTTCTGGTGATTGGTTGAAACAGCAGCAGTAACAGCAGTAGTATTAATAGCAGTGGGCTAGTTGCACTAACAGTAGCAGTCGTAGTATTCTTACCAGGAGTGTCATTGGTTTGCAGTTTGGACAGCAGCTCTGAGATGGATTTCTTCTGAGCCTGAGCGATGTAACTCAAGTTCTCTGAGTCCAGAACAGACAGGAAGGACGGCAGGTCCCAGATCAGCTTGGCCAACACTACACACATGGACAGACAGGACAGACTGTGATGAACCGTTCCTGTATTCCACCAGGGGTCCCTGCATCTGGCTGTTTCTGATTTGGTGTTACAGGTGCTTAATGGAGGGTCATCAGCTGGATGGGCTACACCTGGGCCAGGTGTCCTCTGCACATAAACACCTCCCTCCTTTACAGTTGCTCTCTTCTTCCCTTGCTGCTGTTTGTTTTGGTTATCACAGACATTTCTACATGACTGGTTACTGACGTTCATTCTGTTCCTTATCATCACTTTTTGTAAATAAATATGCTGTTAACTTTCAGTGTTGGTGTCTGGTCTCCCGTCTTTGTCGCAGCCTCTGAGCTGGTTGTGAGAAGACAGACAGGTGGACAGCTGGACACAAAGACGCCTCAGCTGTCTGCGTGTTTGGTCTCATTAACAAAGTAAAATAGTTTGGCAGACTTTATGTCTGAGTCATCCTTTAACTGTTGACGGAGAAGCAGAGCGATGAGTCATGTTTATTTACACACTCAGTATCTGTCTCTATCAAACACTCGTTACACTTCAACAGTGCTGGAATGTAACAAGTACATTTACTCAAATGTTGTACTCAAGTACAAGCTAGAGGTACCTGTAGGCCTATGTAACTAATAATGCCTATTATGCTTCTGCTCCACTACATTTATCTGACACTTTTAGTTACTACTCACTTTACCAATCAATATTTTTGCACTCAAAACATGAAACTATCCTACAGCTACCAAACAATCAGTAAATTAACAGGCGACTACTTTGATGGCTGAAGTCATTTTTTATGTAAAAACATTTCCTGGCTCAAGCTTCACTCGTGTGAGGATTATCTGCAGCTGTACATCTTTATGATTTAATCTACACAAACGTTTTAAATGATTTTCAAAAGCTGAAAACTTTGGAGTGACTTTTAAATAGCTACAATTTGGTAACCTATAAGATAACACGATAAATGTTATATAGTAGCCTACATTATGTATAAGCTAACATGCTAAATATTGCACATCTATATTTAGGTATAAGCTAACATGCTAATATTTCATATAGCCTATCTACATTTATGTAGAAGCTAACATGCTAAATATAGCTTATTTACATGTATAAGCTAACATGCAAAATATTACATTTAGCCTATCTACATTTATTTAAGCTCACACTCTAAATATAGCCTATCTATTTTTATGTGTAAGCTAACATATTAAATATTATAGCCCATCTTCATTTATGTATAACCTAACATACTAAATATAGCATATCTACATATATGTAACCTAACATGCTAAATATAAGGCTACACATTTATGTTCTATCTACATTTATGTTTAAGATACTAAATATTATATTGCTTCCATTTATGTATTAGCTAACATGCTAAGTGTTACATGTAGCCTATCTAGGACTGTTTAAATAAAAGTCAAGATGCTAAATATAACATATAGCCTGTCTACATTTATTTATAAGCTAACATGCTAAATATTATAGCCTATCTGCATTTATTTCTGAGCTAGCATACCAAGTAAAACTTATCTACACGTATAAGCTAACATGCTAAATATTACATAAAACCTATCTACATTTATGTAGAAGCTAACATGCTAAATATTACATAGCCTAAGTAGTTTTTCACTTAAAAGAAATTTGCTTTGGTTTATCTCCATTTATCTTCCCTTGTCTTTTATTATGCTCTATATTTCCACTGATGTATAAGCTAACATGCTAAATATTATAACTTGTCTACATTTAGGCTGTGTATAAGCTAACGTGCTAATTACTATGTAGCTAATATCCATGCTTATGTGTAAGTTAACATGCTAAATATTACATAGCTTAAATCTACATTAATGTATGCTAAACACAAATGTCAACATGCTGTAAAATTTAATTTCTAACCTTAGCATGTAATGTTTAGCATATTATATTTATATGCTAGCATGCTAACATGCAAAATGGTAGTTCTGTATTCATCAAATCTAGTCAAACTTTTTTTATCCATGTATTTGTCTTTCATGACCACATTGCTGCAGATTTTAAAAGAACAAAAATCAAAGTTAAAAACATGTAAAAGTCTTTTAATGATCAATGTTTCTGTGTATCCGTCCTCGACTGTTTTTAAATAATTTCTTTAAGTTTCATGAGTCATAAACAGACCGAAACTCATGAGTGTCCAGTTCAGTTTGTCATCAGCAGGTTGATAAAACATGAAAACTGTCATGAAGTCAGTCTGTGTTCATGTTATGAATGAAGCTGTTGTTGCTCTCTTCACTGGATGAATACTGACTTTGTGTTTTGGCTTCTTAAGAGTAAAGAGCTCAAATCATTGAAGGCAGCGATGCGAGACGCCTCCAACTCCATATTATCCTCCACAGATAAAAATACAAGCTCAATATTTTCCTCTGACAGGGGTCATGTCGGCCCGCTGTCTCTGTGGGTATGCTGTCAATAATCAGTGTGATGCTGAGTTTGTCTCAGAGGTCCTTAAAATAAGCTTTCAGCCTCTCCAGCGCAGGCTCTTGTTCATGGTTAATTCATGTATGTTAATATAAACATGGCTCTGTGGGGGTTATGAATGTCATATTTTACAATAGTGGTATTTTCAAACATGCAAACAAATAAAAAACTTAAGAATGTCCGTCTTCACAGAAGCTGCTGTCTGTTTAAGACAGAAGAGGTCAGGATATTTGTTCTATTAATGAGTGAATGAAACACTGAACTGATGGCACCTGTCCAGGTAACGTTTCCCATCACAAACATTCGGATGTTCTGGCCTTCACATGTTAACTGATGTGATCCACACTGATAAGCTGCTGCTAATGTTTAACACAGAATAAAGACTGTGTGTGTACTGTACGTGTTATATCATTTAAGACCTGAAGGTCCCTGTGCACACACTGACAAACAGGAAGTTGCCTGTAGAAGAAAATAATTATGTTGCAGGAACATTTACAGCAGATTTTTCATCAGGAGGAAATGTACCTTAAAGACACTCATCAACTATTCAATATGTTTACTTTCTATTAACACTCACCACAAACAGGACCTGTAGAACCACCCCTGTGACCAACAGAACAACTTACAGTATGGGACCCCTAGAGACTCTTCAGGGACCACTAACACATCCTTAATAATCTCTAAAACCTTCTCAGGGACCAATCTAACTTCCTCAAAGACCACTAGAACCATTTGAAGGACCCCTGGAACTATAACTATAGGAATCTTCTTTACAATCTTCTTAATGACTAACAGAGCCCCCAAACAGACCTGGAGAACCTCCTCAGTAACCACTAAAACTTTTTACACCATCCACAGGACCCCTGAAACATCTGTATTGACTTAAGAGAGTTCTACACACACCAAAAGACCATTTTCAGTAACCACTAAAACCATCAAAAGGACCCTCTGAACCTCCACTGAAGAAACAGTATAACCATCTAAAGACTTTTAGAACCTTCTCCCAGACAATTAGAACCTCCTAAAATACTTAGAGCCCACCTTGAAGACCCCTAGAACTTTCTTAATGACCACTAAAACTTCCTGCAGAGCTAGAATCTCACAAAAGACCCTCGGAGCCTCCTGACTACAACAACAACAACAACAACAACAACAACAACAACAACAGAAAAAGCTCTTAGAACCACTTTAAGGACCATCAAAACCTCCCCAGTGACCACTAGAGCATCCCATAGAACTACTGCAACCACCTAAAGGGCCCCTAGAACCACCTTATAGACCATGTGTTGGAACATGTTTTATGGTTTTATGTTGTCTTACAAGTCAAAGACAAATTTCTGCCTTCAGCATGCATAAGGTAGACAATAAAGTATTATTCTATTCTATTCTATTCTATTCTATTCTATCAAACATCCTAAAGAAACAATTTAACATCCTGAAGACCTCTAGAACCTCCTTCCTGACAATTAGAACCACATAAAGGATTTCTAGACCTACCCAAGAGACCCCTAGAACCTTCTCCATGACTACTATAACTTCCTACAGGACTTTAAGAACCTCAAAAAGGACCCCCAGAACCTCCACAATGACCATCAAAACCTTTTAAAGAACAACTGCAACCACCTAAAATTTCCCTAGAACCACCTTGAGTGACTACTAGAGCATCCTAAAAAACAACATAACCACCTTAAGACCTTTAGAGCGTCCTTCCTGACAATTGGAACCTCCTAAAAATCTTCTAAGGGCAATTAAGACACCCATAGAACCTTCTAAATGACAACTAGAAGAGAGGAGCCCGAGAACCTCCTTCCTGACCATTAAAATCCCCCAATGGACCCTTAGAATCTCCTTTGTGACCATTAGAACCTCCTAAAGGACAACTACAACAACCTAAAAGGCCCCTTGAACCATTTTAAGGACCATCAAAACCTCCCCAGTGACCACTAGAACCTAATTAACATAACTATTTAACTACCTAAAGAACTTAAGATCCTCCTCCCTGACAATTAGAACCACCTGCAGTAATGAACCCTAGCTGTCTACACATGACTTCAATAACCTAAAGGACCTCAGGAACCTTGCCCCTGACCACAGATGCTCCGACAATACATTTTTAAATATATTCTAAAGTTGCATTATTATATCACTGACAGGAGTCAGACCCAGTTGGAACCACAGAGAACATGAGCAGTTCCACTGGTTGGAAAGTCTACACAGGACCTCAGTTGTTGGTATAAAGCCAAAGTGTGGTGAATGATCCTGAGAGGTCCGACTGAGCTGATCTCAGAACAGTGTGAATTCTCATCAGAAGGAGTTGGAAATGTAGAAAATGCAGAGACAACAGACAGTGATTGTGTCGGAGCTCCATTCAGACGGACAGAGTGAGTCCATTCACTGTGTGACGGAGTGGGAGACCAAGGTTAAATGTTTCTGATTAACTCGTCTCTGCTGACTTTAAGGATCCTACAGATCTGCTTATCTGCCCACTGCTGTTTTAAACACTGAGCTGTACATACCTCACACACCCACAACACATCAACAACACATCAACAACACATCAACAGCATCATCATAAACAACAACAACGACAGAAACTCCGACACAGAGAAACTGCTGCTGGACTGAGAAATAAAGAGTTTGTGTTAGTGAATGCTGCTTATCTGACCATCAGAATCACTTCCTGTCTCAGGCTTTGATGCTGCAGAACACACACACACAAGCACACACACGCGTGTGCAGATGCACACAGGTTAAAAAATGTCAGTCTATGTGAATGAATGACGGATCATCTGATTCTGATAAAAGACAAATCAACATCCAAAAACTAAAACTATACAAACAGAATCACAACACCAGAATATATATTAAGACGTAAATTAAAAGTTTGTTCTGTTGTTAACGTCTCTCCTCTTAACTGTCCTGTAATGTTTTCACCTCGTGGTGAAGTCAGACCTTTTTTATTTATTAACAGAGCAAACAAACTAATGAACAAATAAAAGAAAGACTGACAAACAAATAATGAAAAAACTGACTAACTACCTAAAGAAAGAACACACAAACTAATAAACAAACTAACTTACAAACAAACAAATTAAGGAACACACAAACTAACAAACTAACGAATGAAACAACAAACTAACATAAAATCAAGTGAACAGATAAAAAAATTAATGAACACACAAACTAAGTAATGAACAACAGAATTAAACAAACAATCTGACCAACAAACAAACTAATGAACAAATACACAAACAAACAAAATGAGGAACAAACAACTTTGTAAACAAGTTTGCAAGAAAAAAAAAGCAGATTAACAGAAACTGATTGTAAATGTTTGACAGGAACTCTCAGACAAACTTAGATCTGTATCTTTATGGTCAATGAAACTGTCTGAGGTGAAAAAGTCTGTGTGTGTGTGTGTGTGTGTGTGTGTGTGTGCGCTGCAGGGTGTGGAGCAGCATCTCTTTCATCCTCTGGTTGGTAAAAATAGAAAAACAGGACGTCAGACACAGTTACATTACTGAGCTGCAGTCAGAGACGCTCCGTACACACAGAGTTCAGAAACCAAAAATCTACTGAGCGACTGACAACAGCTGGAACCAAGAACTTCCTCCACGCCACGAGTTCTGCCCCAAACACACAGGAAGTGTTTCAGCAGCTGGAGGCGACTTTTTGTAACAGTGAATTTAATGAGAATGAAGCTTTTTGCTCGCTGTTTTTGTGTTGCTATGCGCCTTTTGCTTCTGCGCTCTAGGCGTCTGGTTGTTGAAAAAACGTCCCCACGTCGCATCCGCTTTTCCCCATTGTCCAATGGGATGATTTGAGGGGCGGGGCTTCTGTGGTGGTCACGACAACAAGTTTACAGTTGGTAAACAATGGAGGAGAAACTGGTGGTAGTGGTTGCTGGATACCCAGAGCTATACGACTTTACAAAGTACAGTTAGCACCATCTCAATAGAAAACAGCAGATAAGTGCAGTACTGTAAACGTCCATGATGGAGGAGAAGCTCCTGGACCAACTGGTGGTACTCCCCATGATCCAGCCTCTTTTTTAGGGTCTCATGTACCCACACAGATCTCTGTTTATCTGCTGACAGCCTCTCACCCTCAACCAGAGCTACAGACAGCACCCTCTGCCTCAACATGGCAGCAGCTACACACTGAT